GTGCAGGTGATGTGCTGCCCCGCAGGTGGCCTATGACACAGGTGACTATTACCACTCCATTGCGTGGCTGGAGGAGGCTGTCAGACTCTTCCGCCTCTCCTACGGCAGCTGGAACCTGGAGGACCGGAGCAGCCTGGAGGATGCTCTGGACCATCTGGCCTTCTCCTACTTCATGGTACAGCCATGAGTCCCCTCCCCATGCCCAGTGTCGGGCAGAGCCAAACCATGGGCAGGAGGATGGATGCTGATGGGGTCTCCACTCCCTCACCCAGGCTGGAAACATCTCTCACGCCTTGAGCCTCTCCAGGGAGTTTCTCCGCTACGGTATGTGGGACAACCCTGGATGCAGCAGGAAGAGGGAAAAGATTTTGGGATGTCCCCATCACCTCTGCATGGCAACAGCCTCCCTCACCCACTTCTTGCCCCCATCTGGGGTAATTCTCCAGGGAAAAGGGTTGATGGGGGTGCAGTCCTCTGGGTGACACCACCTCCCCAGCAGATCCCAGAAACCAAAGGGTGTCCAGGAACGTGGCCAAGTACAAGAAGCTGCTGGAGACGGGGACAGGGACAGGCACCAGGCCCCTGCAGCGCCCCAACAGCACCCGCCTGCAGAGCCGCGACGCCTACGAGGAGCTGTGCCAGCGCCCCAGGGCTCAGGTGGGACTGGCAGGGCTGCCGGGGTCCCACAGCCCCTCTGGGGTCCTCCCTCACACCCTCCTTGGTCCTCTTCTCCGCCAGGCAGCCCCAGAGCAGCTCCTGCACCTCGGCTGCTCCTACGAGACCAACGGCAGCCCCTTCCTGCTCCTGCAGCCCGCCAAGAAGGAGATGGTCCGGACCCAGCCCCACGTGGCTCTGTACCACGATTTCATCACCGACGCCGAGGCTGAGACTATCAAGGGGTTGGCAGGGCCCTGGGTGAGCCCTCCCTGTCCCCAGGGATGTCCCTTTCCTGCAGCAGGAGATCATGATCCAGGGTGAATGCAGAGACAGGAGGGGTTTTAAGGCCAAAGCTTTCTCCAGGGAGTTCAGATGGGACAGGGCTTGGAGCAACCTTGTCTAGTGGAAGGTGTCCCTGCCTATGGCAGGGCATGGAATGGGATGATCTTGGAAGGCCCCTTCCAACCCGAACCACTCTAGGATTAGATGAGACCCTGGGGATGATGACCCCAGTTCCATGTGAGTCTTTTGAGTCCCCCAAAAAACTTTTTGGAAGAAACCAGGTCCAAATGCACCTAAACAACTTCTCAACCAGGCCTGACTTGGTGACTCAGCCTGCTGCCACTGCTTCCCTCACCCCAGTGAGACACTTTGGGGTGGGACAGCCAGCTGCCACAAACCCACCACGGCCCCTGCTTGGTGTGAGGGTCCCCATGTGTGCCAACACGCATCCCCATGTGTCCCTCAGCTGCAGAGATCCGTGGTGGCCTCTGGGGAGAAGCAGCAGAAAGCCGAGTACCGGATAAGCAAGAGGTAGCAGCCACCCTCCCTCGTCCTCTGTGGCCACCTCTGGGGTGGCAGCAGGGCCGTGCTGGGAGGCCTGGCTCCTCCAGCAGTGCCCTGAGGGTGAGCCCCAGCCCCACATTAATTGGGGGGCTGATGTGAGGTGTCCCACAGTGCCTGGCTGAAGGACACAGCCGACCCTGTGGTGCAGGCCCTGGAGCGGCGCATGGCCGCCCTCACGGGCCTGGACCTGCGGCCGCCCTACGCCGAGCACCTGCAGGTGGTCAACTACGGCCTGGGAGGCCACTACGAGCCACACTTCGACCACGCCACGGTCAGGGAGCTGGGGGCACCAGGGGGGACACCCAGGGGGGCTCCTGCGGTGGACTCAGGGGTGGGCCCTGGGATGCTGCTGATGGTGCTGCTGGGATGGTGCCCACAGGAAGGCCCCGGATGTCCCCAGGGGTGTCCCCATGGTGATCCCGAGGTTGTTCCCTGAGATGTTCCTAGTGATGCACCCTGGCATGGCCCCTGGCAGGGGTGGGATGGATGGTCCCAGGATGCTGATCCCTGGGTGGGTGCCTGGGGTATCCCTGGGGAGGGAGGGAAGGAGGGAGAGAGAAGGGAGGAGGAGGGATTTTCTGTGGGGGAACAGCTTGGAGCTGCTGGGGTGTGAGGGGCCTCTGGCTGAGCTGTGTCAGGGCAGCACTGACCGTGCCCACCTCCCCTCCTGGAGCAGTCCACGAAGAGCCCCCTGTACAGAATGAAGTCGGGCAACAGGATCGCCACAATCATGATCTACGTGAGTTGTCCCCCCCCATTTCCAGGCCTGGAGGGATGAGCCTGGCTTGGCCCTCAGGGGATGGGATGGGTGAGGGCAGCCCTAAAACACTGGAGTGGGTGGGAAGTGCCAACATCTGTGGAGTATTCAGGAGCTTGTGCTGTGCCAAAGTGGGGAACAGAGCTGGGGCCCAAGGGAGGTTTTGTGCCTCAGTTTCCCTGTGCAAAGGAGCATCACAGGGAAGGGGGGACCAAGGCTCCTATTTTTGTTCCTTTTCCAGCTGAGTGCAGTGGAAGCTGGAGGCTCCACTGCTTTCATCTATGCCAACTTCAGCGTGCCCGTGGTCAAGGTGAGGGCTCATGTGGAACCGCTGGGAGCAGGGAAGGGAGGGTGCTGCCCTCTGCATCCCAGCTCCTTCATGGAGTTGTGGTGAAGCCTCTCCTGATGCCAAGCCCCAACCCCAGGCTCCCTAATCTGCTTTGGGGTGCCAAAATTCACTCTTGGGCATCCCAGCTCCGTTTTGGGGTACCAAACCCATCTGTGCTCCACAGAATGCAGCTCTTTTCTGGTGGAACCTGCGGAGGAACGGGAATGGTGACGGAGACACCCTCCACGCTGGCTGCCCCGTCTTGGCCGGGGACAAGTGGGGTGAGAGATGCTACCAGGGCTCACCCCAGGGTGACACGGGGCTGGAGGGACAGCTCCACCAACGGGGAGGCAAGAGGGGCTGGGAATGCACAAATACCCTGGACAATAGGGGGGAAGTTCTCCGATACCAGCACAGGATTAGAGAAAGGTGCCAAGGGAAGGGAACACACAGGGGTGTCCTTATCCTTGTCCCTTCCAGTGGCCAATAAGTGGATCCATGAGCACGGGCAGGAGTTCCGGCGGCCGTGCAGCGCTGACCCTCAGGACTGAGCTGCGGTGGGAGCACAGATGTGACATCTGATGTGACATCCGCAGGTGGCAAAGCCACCCCAGCACAGCATCTCAGCATCTCCCCAAGGGCAGAGCAAGGGAGAGAAGGGGGCAGCAGCAGAGCAGGGCACGATCAGGAGGGGCGTTTGCTCAACCACAGCCAAACTGGGTGGAAATAAAGTCTTTTATAAACTGGAGTCTGTTCTGGGGTGCCAAACCCTATCCCTGCGGCTCCCATCTGTTTTGGAATGCCTAAATCCAGTCTCGGGGAGAAGGCAGCTCCTTCCAGCCAGCCCCATCGTCCCGGCGAGTTTCCTATTCCCTGGCCCTCGCTCCGTGCCCAGCGATACCCGCTGTAGTTCCCTATTCCCTGGCCCTCGCTCCGTGCCCAGCGATACCCGCTGTAGTTCCCTATTCCCTGGCCCTCGCTCCGAGCCCAGCGATGGTGACGGGGAGCCCCAGGGATTCCCGGTCTCCCCGCGGCCCTTCCCGCTGCCTCGCTGCCCGCTGCTCCGCGGGGTGCGCGGACCCAGCTCCCTCCCTCAGCCCGCTGAGCGAGCCTGGGCTTTGTTAGCCTCGCCAGCAGGGTTGGGTTCGGGTTTCTTTTTCCCTTTCCCTGGCCTAGGAGACTGTGGGAGCAATCCAGCAATCCTTCGGCCGTTTTTTTTATTTTTTCCCCGAGCTGTTCGGTTCGGTTTTGGCCCAAGATCGCAGAGCCGGCGGGAGGAGCATCGGTCGGGGAAGGAGGGGCCGGCCCGGCCCGGCCCCAAACTCGGCCCAGCCGAGCCAACCGGAGGAAGGACACCAAATCCAGCGGCATCATATGCAGTGACAAGGGGACGCCGCCATTAATGCACAGGTTCCCTGTGTTTAGCCCGAGGTGCTGGGTGCCCCCTTTGTGTTCCCCTTCCCCGGGACGGGAGCCGCCGCCATTTTCTTCGCTCCCCACCACAATGCGGCCCTTGTGGGCTTTTCCCCCTTTCCTGGGATTTTGTTCTGTTTTGTTGGGAGGTTTTTTTTGTTTGTTTTGGTTTGGTATGCTTTGGTTTGTTTCGTTTTGTTTGTTTCGTTTTGTTTCATTTAATTTCGTTTTGTTTATATCCAGTGTGTGTGTGGGGTGGGGGGGCAGTGGTGTTACGGTCAGACAATTCAGTATCATGCATTTATTTAGTTTCTTTTTCCTGTGCCGTGTGGGCACTCTGGGAATAAACGATTGGGTTTTTTTTCACTTTCACCCATTGCTGTTAACCTCCTATTGGCAGAAAGGGGTTGTTCCCCTTTCTTTCGAGGAAACACTCCTTCCAGAGCGTTTTTCTTCTTAATTTGTTTCTAAACCGGGACACTCATCTAGGTGACATTTGAATGAGATTCAGGTCTTCCAGGATGGAAACCCAGCTTTCCAGAGAGATCACCATATCACCTCCTGGCCTCTTTCCCTGCTGGAAGGGAAGGGACAGAAACCGGGGAGGGAGATAAAACAGAAGGCAGAGCGCTCCCGAGGCTCTCCTTGCTTGGGGTCAGAAATGCGCGTTTATCACTCCTTGGCTGTGTTTATCCAGCCTGGATTAACCCTTCCATGGGCACACAGGGACGGGGCTGAGCCGCAGGGAGCATCTGGGCAGAACAGAGGCTCCAGCAGCCCTTTGGAACTGTTAAACCCGCCGGAATGTAAAACAGCCTGCAAGACTTCCAGTTTATCCCAGTTCCAGTCAGGAACATGCAGAGAAGGCTGAACAGAGCACAGGTTACTCACCAGCCCATTTATTACTTCCAGATGTTTCTGCACATATGGGAGTCATTGGTCACAGGAAGGAGGGGGAAAAGTGAAAGCTATGGTTAAATTCCCCACACTGGGGTGCAGGGAAGGGATGGAGGAGCATTTTGGATTACAAGAAGCTTCCATGAGTCACCAGAAAAACCCAATGGTTGGGTCTGGTGCAGGAACAGCTGGATCAACCCCCTTCCTCCACAGGCTGCTCCAAGGAGCCCAAGTATCTCAGCTAAAGGGAAAGCAGGAATTCCTACTCCAGGCTTTTCACAAATGCTTTATTTGTAGGCGAGGGAGATGGACACAGAACAAGACCAGGATGAGGCTGACACGAGACACGGCTCTCCAGAGAACTGACACACGGACACAGTGCTGCGGGGGCAGCACTGTCAGACAGACAGACGGATGGACAGCACAAACAAGGGATGCGGCTTTGGGCAACACGAAGGGCACTTCCAGCCTGTGAGCAGAGCACCAGGCTCGGGGACAGGTGGCACAATGCACCAGGGACAGGGGTTCTTGGCAGTGAAAAGCCATCAACTCAAGTTTGTGACCTTGCCTAAAGAGGCAGGTCTGGATTGCCAACACTGTGGATTACCAGTTCAAACCAGTGGTTGCCAGGCACTCCACACAGCCCTTTTCCCAGGCCTTCCTGCTCCCAAAAGAAAAGGCAGTAGTGGAGAAGAGGGAAAATGTCAGTGCTGAAGTCACAGAATCAGAATAATTTGGGTATGGACCAACCTTAAAGCCCATCCAGTGCCACCCCTGCCATGGCAGGGACACCTCCCACCATCCCAGGCTGCCCCAAGCCCCATCCAGCCTGGCCTTGGGCACTGCCAGGGATCCAGGGGCAGCCACAGCTGCTCTGGGTACCCTGTGCCAGGGCCTAAACTGTACAAAAACTTATTCCTAACACCCAACAGACCCTCCTGAGGGGATTCTCCAAGGTCTGTGTTGCCCAGCTCCACCTTTTGCAAGTCATCCTAACACTGCTTGCAAATCATAAACACGTGGAAGCAGGGCTGGAAGGGCCTTCTTCAGGTTGTCCACGGCAAAAGGGGAAAAATAACAATTTTACCTACTGCTGCCTCACCCCTGTCAATCTGAGGGGAAAATTCTGGCTGGACAGCCCCAGGCCTGAGTTTAATTCCTTACTCAAGGGCTGATTTATTCAAAGCAAGAGTACCTGCTTTGGCAATACAGGAAATAATATTTTCCCAACAATCCCAATGCTCCAGTCATCTGTAAATCCCTGATGGCTTTGTCCAGTACACATAATCTGGCAAAACCCATCCTAGGTCTCAGACATTTATTTTTTTACTTTATTCAATTGAAACGAAGCCTGCAACAGACCAGCATCCCAAAGTGCATCTCCTGCTCCTGCCAAACCTTGGGATCCTCCATTGGGAAGGATCCTCAATCCAACAAGGGAAACAAGACCAAGAGAGGTTTCTAAGTAATCAAAAGGCTGCAGGAAAAATGCAAAGCTGGGAGTTTTGGGGAGGAATTTTTCTGTGTCCCTGCTTCTCGTGAGCCAGAGAGGAGACTCCTTCTCTCTGCAGTTACTTTTACCACAGCCTGTGTATCCTTCACCAAATGCCATTTATCCCAGCCTGCAGCCCCCTGGAAACTGCAGCAGGAGCATTAATACTCCTCAGACAAAAGCCCAGTCTCAAAAATGTGCATGGCTTGACAGAGCCGAGAGGAATTTCCCTTCCACCCACCCCCAGGGTGCTGCTGGATCAAAAGGATGGATGATGCTGAATCCATCCTTTTGATCCAGCCCCACAAGAGTCCCAGAACAGCCACCTGGGCAGGGCTGGGAGCTGGCACGGAGCGACGCACCAGTCACTTCAACAGGCTCTTGAAATATTTATTTTCTTTTCACTCACTCAATGGTAACAGCAAAACAGAATCCCAGGCAGCCCACAGGATTGCAGGAATCGTTCCTTTCCCAGTGGTGCTTCTGCAGAACACAGAACTGGCTGGCTTTCCACGGAGGGTTCTGCTTGCTGGGGCTTTCTGCCGAGCTCACAAATCGGAGGGATAACCGAGGAATCGCTCACTCCAAGTCGGGCTCTCCAAGTGACTTCACCACGCAGGAATGTGACTCACCAGATCACTCACAGCATGATCCCGGGAAGTGAGACTGGACAGACAGCTGCACTAGTTCATCCCTAACAACCTGAACCAAGGAGTCTCCTGCAAAAGGGGCTTTTGGCCATTCTGGGGACACGGCTGGGGAAAGAACTGTTTTGCATCTTGACTACTGAAGATCCATGGAATCCATCAGGAACTAGACCAGGATGGAATTACACCAAACCAATGCATCGACACGGTGACTCACAGAGGGGAGCGCAGAGAGCCACCAATTGCTCCTGTCACACCTGAGTGCCCAAAGTGCCAGGAGGGCATTCCTCTCTGCAATGAGGCTGTCCTGTCTCAAATCCAGGCACTTCCCAGGCTGCTGTGTCAGGGAAGGGACAGGAGCAAGGCCACCACGGCTGCTGTGCCCGGTGAGTCACAGCTCTGTCCCACCTGCACCTCTCAAGTGCCAAGGATTCCTGATGGCTCTTGTCATGGCATGCACAGGGCAGCTCCCAAATCACCACAGAACTCTGCCTCGGCAGAGCAGGATTAAAATCATCGGACAGCAGCAAGGGGTTATGGACACCAGGCAACAAAAAGGGGGTTTCACACATCCACCAGCAAAATATTGAGGAAAACTGCTCCAAAACATGTCTGCTCTTACACTCAAAAGTGACTCTTAGGTGAAAGCAAGCCCAGGAGCTGTCTGTGGATAATTGAACCCTGAAGAAAAGCTCTCTGTGCACATGGAATTCTGGAAGGCAGGCAGCGAAATGAACCAGGAAGCAACAGTGGAAACAGGGTCCTTCCTCTAATACTGGGGAGAACAGCTGCCTACACCTCTGCATCAACATCAGCAGGACTGACTCCAAGCTCTCCCAGGGTTCTTCCTACAGCCCATTCCATGTTTTTGTATCCCAAAGGCGCTGATCTCTCTGCCCAGCTGAGTGTGGCAGCTACAAGAAGGGAAGGACAAACACATTCCAGGGGCAGAAAACAGACAGACTGCCTGCTGACCACATTGTCCCTGCTGCTCTTGGCTCCTCCCCATAAAGGCAGGTTCAGAGTCCTGTGGCCTGGGATGTGTCTGTAGTAGATGGAGTTATTCAGGCTCTTCTTCCCATAGAGGACTTGAAGCGAGCACTTCACAAACTGCAAGGCTCTGAAATGGAGCTCACAGTCCTCCCCTTGCCTTTTTGGTTCACAATCCCATCCAGCTTTGCCCAGGAAAGTGGCCTCCAGGCTTTTCCCACAGCTCAACCCCTAAGGCTGGCGCTGGTGAGATGAAACCTGAGCTCCCAATGAAGCCGATTCCTCGTCTGCTTTAGGGGAAAATCAGTGTATGTATAAAACCCAAATCTAAGGGGCACTTCCAAGATGATCCAGTGACTCCACGGAGAAATCCTGAAGCCTTTGGCTGTGCTGCAATGCCCTCGGTGGATCTGCACTGCCAACAGCCCTTCTGCAGCTGGGTCCAAGGAAGCCTGAGAATCGGGGGAGACTGGTATGACTGACTACATGGGATTCCAGGAGGTCTTTCCTTGTGGCAGCAGAGAGGAGGATCCCAGTTCCAAGGGCCTGAAGAGCTTTTCATGGTCTTCAGTAGAAGCTGCTTCCCAGCAAGGAAGTCCCTAGGAATTTAGATATTCTGGAGAGCTAGTTCTAGGGGATGAGTCTCACACCAACTTCTCACTGCTGCTGGACTGGGAGATGAGAGGATATGGATACATCACAGTGGCCTCTGGTGCAGTTTATTTACAATGGGAGTCAGTGCTGGAGAACACCGGGATATTAACAAGCAGGAAACACACTAGGAGGCAAAAAAGAGAACGGAAGAAAGACTCCATGTTAGCATCAAGGTATTCTCTGCAAACTCTGTGACAACCTAAATTTAGCTGTAAAGTCCTTAGGTCTTTTCCCTCTCTCCCTGTTCACACATCAACCTAGACTATCAAGCTTATCAATCACACCCCTCTCTCACTGCCTGGCTGATCACAGGGGCCTGGCTTCCACAGGCCATTTTGATAAGAAAACACATGAGATAAGTATGGAGAGTGAAGCACTCAGCTTTACCTGCCTCATCTCACCAGTATTTCCTGACCAAGGGAGTGTGATGCAAGTTGTTTCCACAACACAGGGCCTTGGTTACTTAATGAAATATTATTTAAGCTAACTGCCATAAAATTTATCATTTTGCTTTCTGGCAGGCTATAAAGAAAGAAATCTGCTTTGCTCCTCCCTTCCCAGGAAGGAGGTTTCATCACCACATGTAAATATGTGAGAAATGTAAAAGGAACACAAACACTGAATGTATTAGTGGCTGTGATTCAGAGCTGTTTGTTTATCTGTGGTTTTCAGCACCAGGCTAAAATTCCAGCCTCCCACCTCGAGAGCCAGACAGGCAGTGAGAGCAGGAGCCCTGCTCAGGGACACAGCTCCATGGAGCCTTACCACTGGAATCCACCAATGGGCTCTGTAAACCTGTGACGGATCAGGAACGTTGCAACAGCTTCAGCAACCTGAGAGAAGGGGAAAAATAGCTCAGGATTTAAAGGGACACAAAGAGAAGACAAAACCCAGTCAGTTTTCAAAGCCTGCAGTATTTCCAACAACAGTTCACACCCTCAGCAGTCTGTTGCTCAACTGTTTGCTCCTTTAAAACAAGAGTTCTGTGTAACACACCTCCAGCTTTACTCTGACACTGAGCCTGCCATTAAGGAGTGACCAAACCTTTTCTCCACCCATGTCAGTAATTCTTGAAACAATCAGCAGGGAGAAAAGGTGAATTCAGGATGCAAGACAGTAACCTGGAATGGTTTGGGTCGGGAGGAACATTAAAGCTCATCCAGTTCCAACACCTGCCATGGGCAGGGACACCTTCCACTACACCAGGCTGCTCCAAGCCCTGTCCAGCCTGCCAACATTGCTCAGAATGTATAAAAACCAGTAACAGATTAAGAACTGAGTATGTTTAGATAGAAATACCTATTTCAGACTGGTAAAGGGAAGCACAGAAAGGCTGAGTTTTAACAGAGCTGTCAGTGCAGAATGAGCTTTAAAACCAGATGTGTTCCCAACCACAGGCTCCGCTGGCTGCACCACATTCCTGCTTCCATCTGGACACAAACCCCAGCAGTGCCCAGAAGCAGCACTGCTCTGTCAGAGCTGCTGCAGGAACATTTGGTTTCTATTTGGAAAATGTGAGCCACCCAACTCAACAGAACACAGACCAACCCCTAAAGCTGCAGCTTAGTGCAAGGGAACTGCATGAGGAAAGGAAGGGAGGAGAAATCCACACTCCACATGGGTGGGATTAGGTACATCACCACGAGCCTGGGAGTTAAATCCATAGCCCAGCCCTGTGGCATGTAACATCTTAGCCAGGGCTTTCCAGACAGCTGAAAAATCCAAGCTGCTTATGAAATCCAGTTGTGGTGCCAGAAGATGTCCCAGAAGTATGATCTCTGCTGCGTGGTAAGGAACAGATCCTTTTCTGCATTTCAGATTGTGGATTATTGTAGCTTCAACCCCACAGTGGGGCTCACCTTGTCCGGAGCATCCTCGTGGACTGCGTGGCCACACTGTGGGAGGACCTGCATCTGGAACTTCCCTGTGGATGGAGAGAGTCAGCACACTCTGGATCTCACGCTCTGCACCCACTGACCTCACTAAATGTAGCTGGAAAAGAGGCCCCAGGGACGGCAGGAAGCCTCAGCAGACTCCACACCATGCACAGCCCGTGGCCTCCAAAGGAAACACGGACCAGCTGCTTCATTCACCTTCTCCAGGTGTAACTAGAGCAGGTTCCCAGGAGCTAAAATAGAGCTGAACTTCTCAGAGCTTCTCAATGCAGGCAAGTGTCCGAGTTAGAACTCTCACCAGATTCACCTTAAGGTAATGTTTATCCTGCTATCCTGTACCACTTTCCAGTACTGGCTGCTCTGGAAGGCTGGCATGGGGGGAAAAAACCCAGCCCAAACCCCAAAACATGAATGAAGGTGCTTCATCTTGATCTGCTGTCTGTCAGAAACACTGAGGGGGGACAATTTGGAATGGTCCCAGGTGTTCTCGCTAGGAACATCCGGGGTGTAGCTACAAAGGGAAAAGTGGATTAGAGAGAAGCCCTCACAGGCAATCACTCTGATCCAAGAGAAGTGTAGCAGCTCCACTGCTGGGATTGAACAATGCCCACAGCAGCAGCCCTTTGAACCGAACCTTTCCCTCCTCACCTTCCCCACCTTTCCTTGACCACAGCAGGAGAACACTTTGGGCTGGACAAATTCTTTAATGCCCATTTGTTTAGATATTGACTGTACCCACAGCAACAAGCTGTCATGCAAAAAGAGCATTATGGTAAGGCTGAAGTAGCAATATTAAATATTTACCTTGCATCTGTCCAATGGTCAGATCTTTATCCAGCCTGTCAACACCTACAAGCAAATAAACAAATAATAACAATAAACAAATGTTTTGGAGAACAGCCAGAGAGAACACCATTCTCTGAGCCAGGCTTTTTCTCTGTATTTTAAAAGAGACATTCGATTGAGAAACAGAAAATAAACACCTCTGACACCCACGACAAGGGCATTTCACTGCTGCACCTTGATAAAGTTACAGGAAAGAAACACAGCCAAAAAATGCTAGAGCACACCCCTCCCTACTACTTAAAAGGATATTTACAAAAGGTATTTGCTATTAAGGTACAAAAAGGGCTTACAGCTGTATTTGACTTTGACTGGAGAAGTTCAGATCACACCACGCTATTTTAGGAGACACAGAAGCCCAGGTATTCCCAGGAACCACTGCAGCCCAATGCTGACCCTGTGCTCTAAAATGCAAGTGTGCCCTGACTGAAGTGCTCACCAGGACTGGGAGGGACACGTACCAGCTAGAAGCAAAAGCTTTGGAGTGGGACAGCTGAGGAAGAGGTTGGACAAACCCCTGAACCAGCCATCCCAGTACTTCTCTGTTTTGGCCAGCTCGATTCGCCACGTGTATAAATGCTCCTTCTTTGTCTGCAGGGAGGACAGAGAGCTCTGTGTTACTGATCAGTGAAAGAGCAGAAAGAAAACCAACCCAGGGAGCCACCTGGAAATGCAGAAATACACAGATATAAAAAATAAAACAATACTGGCTCCCTCTGGCGGATTACACACTTCCAGGGATGACCCTCCTTGCTTCTACATCTCTCTCCAAATCAAAGTACATGAGCAGGGAACAAGAAAGTCAGCCAGAGCTACACCAAGAGGAGAAGAGCCTGCAGGATTCAGGGCAATCAATTTCCTATTTTTTACTGACACAAATAGCTCACAAATTGCCTGAACATTTGGGCTTGGCTCCCATCCAGTTTTCTCTCCCTGGAGTGGCTCCCTTTCATATCAGAATGATTTGGATAACCACAGGTGACAGCTCTTGCAGGGGAAGCTGAAAACACAGTAACAAGTTCCCAACCTCTGTGTCATCCTCTTTCTTCCTTTTGTTGACAGAGCCTCCTCCTTCCTCATCCTCGTCCTCTTCCTCTTCCTCAATAATTCCCTCTACTATGGCTTTAGGGCATTCAGGACTGGCTGCCTCTTCACACCTGAGAAAATAAAATCAGAAACTGATTCCCTGACAAAAGGAAAAAATCCAAAACATCAGCCAGGATTAAACCATAGGTGTTCAGCAATTTTGCTTTAAGAAATATTCATTTTCAAGTGCGCTTATGTAGCAATGGTATTGTAAAACAGAAAAAAAAATTAAAATAATAAATGAAATAAACCAAAGGCCACCTACTGTTTGACTTGACCGACCATAGAAACTCTGGCAGATTCAAGATTTCTTATCTGTCCACTTTTTACACTATGGAAAAAAAATCAGAAGACAAATATTTACTGAAGAGATTAAAGAATCAGCAGGCCCAGAAAGAGGAGTTAAACTCCTCTACATCTCAGGACTTCCCCAAACCATCCCCAAAGCTCCTGCTCTCACACTGAACAGAGTGGCTCAAACTAAACTCTGGTGAACCTCCCGTTGTCACTGTAACTGAGAAGAGAGAGAAGTTTTAGCAGTGAAACAGGGTTAAACCCGTGCCAGGGGGCTGGGACGGGGCCTGTAAACAGCCAAATTATATAAACTTTGTTTCCTTCGGGAGTCAGGCTACACAGACAAGTGATTCCAGAGGCTGAAACCAAGCTTTACCTCCACTCAATGGCATTCTCAAGCGACTTGAATGTTTTGGGACGACTCCTTAGGAAGTTCTGCATGCTGTTCAAGGCATCCATGGCAGTACCTAAAAGCAAATGGCACCATCTTCATCATCTTCATGGCATCTGATGAGATTACTGCCACATCCCTCTACACAAAACTGGCTGCTACAGCCTCACAGACAGCTGGAGCTCCCCAGTGAGCTAATGCTGCTCAGCAAAGTACAGATTAGTATTTCTAAGCCAACAGTCATATTGGGAAATTGCTATTTGGACAGGTAGGATGTTCAGACAGTAAGAGAAAGCAGCAATCATTTATCAGCACTAAGCATTACAGCAAAAGCCACCCTCTTCCCCATCAAGAAAGTGTTTCAAAGAAATCAGTGCCATGGTCTAGGTGACACAGTGGTGTTAGGTCATAAGTTTGGCTCAGTGATCTCCAAAGTCTTTTCCAACCTAGCTGATCCTCTGATCCTGTGACAT